AATTATAAATGGTGACGAGGATCGTGAATTCAACTTTGTCAAATAGTATCGATAGATAAATGATTTCCAAAGAAACTACACAATTTAAGTATATTTTATTTCACTTGAAAATGTAATATTTTGAATATAATGTCAGTGGCGTCAAATAGATTATTCTGCAACAAGTTATAAAGTATGGCTTGTGTCATAGGGGTATAGAGATTTTTCTCAAAAGTCATGACATTATTATATGGAGATGTCTTTTCTTTTGGTAGATCCAATGAGATTTCTCCAATCTGGCAATATACGAAAAACTCGAATACACATGATAAATGATTTTCATGTCTAGCTAGACAAGTAAATCTTATATGAAAATCCTTGAAGGTTAAATATTTCAAAATGATTCTATTGAGTACCCCAATAATTGTGAGATCTCTTAGCATAAAGATTCATATCAATCTCTTTAAAATGATTAGAAAGTATTTTGTCTGAGTGTAATTGGTGCATTTATGTATCATGAGATTACTAGCCATGGTATAGTAATTTTTTAATGTGAATGAAAAATATAACATTATTCATATCAATAGAGATATCAAAGTGAATCAAATATTTATTTATAAACGTGTTAATTCTGACCAATCTTGTCAAGGTTTAATGGTTATGAAACTATAGGGAATCATTTGATTTATAGGAAGTTTGATTTCAAGAAATATATATGTTTTCATGCGGAAATACTTTCATATCATATTATTCAATAAGACAATTAGTTTTATTACATAAAAAGGATTTGTCACTTGACTATTGCTATAAAAATCAAATGAGTAATTTGTCTACACCGACGAGGTCACAACTAAGTGATTGTCAATGATGCATTTGTCTAAACTCAACATATCTAAGAGACAAGAAAATGATATATCTGAAAATACTCAAAGATGCAACATCTTCATGAATGTGCTTTGGTACAAAGACACAATCGATATCAATATTTGAAAAGCTAATATAAGATTGAGAGGTGTCCTTTACAAGAGTTAAGTAATATTTTAATCGGAGGGGGGGGGTGTAAAATATGTGTTAATGTCCTTTACAAGATTTAAGTAATATTTTGATCGGGGGGTAAAATATGTGTTATTCTTTTTTTCTTAAGTGGGGGTTTTGTCCCACTAAATTTTAGTGACCAGGGTTTTATTGAGGTATCTTTCAATGTGTATTACTAGATAGGTATAATACATAAACATGACCCTTAACTTCGCTTCAACGGATAACTATACCCTCCAACTTGGAGTGTACACAAGTTGAGACTTAAACTTACATAAAATTGAATAAGTAGACACATTTATTCTACATGACATAATACACATAGGACGCCATGTAGGATACAAAATTTCCATGTAAGGTGTCATGTAAGATGAATGCGTCTATTTTTTCAATTTATACAAATTTAAGTGTCTGCTTGTGCACACTCCAAGTTAATGGCCATAGTTTCCAATTGAAGCCAAGATAAGGGTCATATGTTAATATATTATGCCTACTAGATATGTACTCTTTTTCCTTCAATAGGACTTTTTTCCAAGAATTTTTCCTAGTACGATTTTAACGAGTCACATTATCTATGGATTAACTCCAGTGAGTAGTAAATACACCATATTGTGGTTGTTCATTACACAATTTTCTAAACAAGTTCCAAATAGCTCAAATAAGTAGTTTGCTGAAAATCCTTGTAGTAGCTTCCTCAGACTTGCAACCACGAATGATTATATTGATATACAAAAAAATCTATTAAAGTTATAGTATCACAAATTAATTCATCAAATTCATATCAACTTTGACAAAATACAAGCAAGATTGGCATACGAAGAATAAAGAACTGAATTGTGGTCTTTGTCAAGGGAGTAGAACACACTACTCTCAACCAAGATTTGTATCACTAGATAAGATAACATATAATATGTACGACAAATAGTACATTTTCTTAGAAAAAATTGTACATAGACATTTTAAAGGAAAGTCTTGTAAATAATATATTTATAGATGTCATGTGATGGGCCCTACTTTTGCTACCGTAAAAGTATAACATCTCAAAGTCATATTACACCTATATAGAAGGCATTCCCACACCAATATAACACTCAAAAAAGGGGATTATTATCCATATTATTAGTTTATGTATTCCTCTTTCTTTCTCTTTCCATTTGATTTCAATTTTATATTTATTTTATTACAAAATTGAGATTTGCAGCATTTTCTTTAGATGTCCTTTTTGCCACTTGTAACAATATTATGGCTTCCTTGATAAATTCGCATCTCTAACCTAACTTTCTATTTTACTTTACAAATATAGATTTTTCTATATGTTTAGATAATCAACTCTAATCCAATTCCCTATTCAACAAAGGGTCAAATACACCCTAGTACTATTGAAAATAGTTTAAGTATATCCCCTCGTTATATTTTAAAGCTAAATACATCACTTTTATATACTTTCAAGTTTCAAGTCATATACCCTTATAATCAACAAAGGACACAGGACAGATGAGACTAAAGAATTATTAAATTTAAAATAAATTCAATTAAGATATAACCCGATCTAATGTATAATGTTGACCCACCCAATTCATCTGAAACATTAAAAAAAGCCCTAAAACGCATCTTCTTTTGTGTCTAGCAAAGGAAAGGAGCATTGTAAACTAGAACCTTTGCTTCAAAAGAAACTTTTGTTTGATGAAGTTGAGTCATCCGGTGTGTGCTCACTAAACACCTTGTTACCATGTACAATAATTCCTAGTAAAAATTATTTCTGAAGTTAACCATTTTCGAAAAAGGAACATTTGTATGTGTGATGTTGTTCTTTCTTAAATGATTTTTGACTTTTGACAGAGGTGGCTATTGAAAGACATTTAAAGTTCAACCTTCAATTTGGAAAAACTACAAGTTTCCATTTTTTAATGACTCAACATTCTCATTTCTTATTGTTGAATTGTAAATTAACATCAAAATTTAAGTTTATCATCATTAGTCTTGCCACTGCATATGCTCGTGAGTTGTCTCAATTTGGCATTGAAGTTGGACTGACAAGTGATTCTGCTGCATATCTCTTTGACTGCATGCCTCTTTGGTTGTTGGAGAGACTTAATCATGCATTAGGTTGCTTTGTTTGAAAGATAAATTGGGTTGATCAATGTTATAGATTAGGTCGGGTATATTATTGGGGCAGGGCGAGTTATATCTAAATTGAATTTATTTTAAATTGAATAGTTTTTTAATCCTAGTCCACATGTTCTTTGTTAGTTAAGGATATATTTAGTTCGAGGATATATTTAGTTCAAAAGTATAATGGCGGGGGGGGGGGGGGGGGGTGGGGGGGTTATCTTTAGCTCGAAAGTATAACAAGGGATATATTTAAACTATTTCGAATAGTACAGTGGTATATTTGGCCCTTAGCCGATCTCTATTTTCACCTCTAAAATTTTTTTTATTCTTTTTCCTTAACATTATATTATTATTTCTATTTCATTTTATTTTCTAATTTCACACCTAAATCATTTCCTTATTTTTTTGTTTTCAAATAATCACTCTATATAATTTTTCATGTAATATAAATTTTTTATTTTTCAAATTCCTTTCCTATTATAAAATTATATTTTATTCTAAATTTCTAAAGACAAATTACAAGCAAATTTAATATATACATACATATAAATGGACAATTCAAATAAAAATGAAATTATTAATGAAATACGATTACATTATCATCACACAAATATTCAACTTTCAAGATTATTACGTTGCTCTCAGAAATGCTCTATTAACGTGTTATAAAGTTCAAAATGAGCATTTTTATGCATTCTTTTATTTAGATTATTATGTTATGCATTGTATGTTAAAATTAAAAATTTCATCTTACCATTTAAATTTTGTGCATTCTTAATAGTGAATAAATAATAATAATTTTAAACTATACCACTTGAAGTTTTTTTAAAAAAAAATGAAATATTATTAAATTCAAAATAGAAGTAGAATAGATTAAATAATATATTTTTAAATTTTAATAAATAATGAATATGAAAAGTTTAATTAATGGTCTTGTATGATTTATAATATATCAATTGTAAATATTATATAATACAAATAATAACAAAATAACCAAAAATTTGGAGAACTACTATTCAACTCTCCATAAATAGAGAATAAAGAGTGAAATGGAAGGTGGTTGAATAGCTCATTCTCTATTTTAATCTCCAAATGCAGAGAATTGAGAGTAAACTAGAAGTGAGTTGAGGTGAGTTGGAGATGGTAGAAAGACTGAAGCAAATGTGTCTAAAGTTTTTCCAACAAAAATTAGAAAAAATTGATAAGATAAACAAACAAGGTCCATAAACAACTATCCATACGTAGAAGTATCTGTAATATTTGGCAGTAGGGCATGGATAAGTGTACCAATAAATCAGGAGAATTAAGGTGCATCCAAGAGAATGGGGTCAGCTATAACTTTGAACCTAAAGTGTATCAGGAAAATAAAACAGAGTATTCTGTCTTATCGAAACAAACACTTTGCTTTAACACTTGAAAAAACCAAAAATGTTGTCCCAGAATAAACATACTAGTCAATTTTGCCCTAAAATAAAAAAGATAAATAGAGGACACTTGACTCGAACGGGCTTTCCAAATTTTGCTGCATGATAGCTTTGAGGATATACCTCAAGTCTTGCAATCTCCCAAGTAGAAAGCTAAAAGGCTTTACCATAGATATCGAACGTCTTCTTTTCTTCCTTTTTTTTTGTGTGAAGGGCTTGACTTTTGCCATTTCATGACATCAAAAACAATTGCACCATTAACGAGTTTTATCAAACTGCGCCTCTTCAAAGAGCAACTTACCTACAACAGTTGCCAATTAATAGTCCATATTGTCTGAACTTCATTTCAGCAATAATCTCATCATGTTACACCACCATATAACAGAATTTAACAGCATTAAATGAAGATGTGATTTGCATTAACAGTATAGTTGAAAACAATTCAAAAAGAAAAATTTAAAACTTGTACTCATAAGATAAGGTTGCTAGTCTACCAAATTTTGTGCCACTGAATAAAAGTTCGCCACCGCCAACACAAGTAAAAAAAACAGGGAAATTTCTAGAACAAATTTGAGGATAGTAAACATTTTCTATAGGACCAAATACTCATTGATGAGAAAACTGGAGTTTCCTCGCTCGTTTGTGGACGGAGAGTCAGAGGAGGCACAAAAAATTCAAAACATAAATAAAGACATAATATATCCAAACCTACGGAGAGGGAAAATATGTCTCTAAGCTTCACCTTTATAATAAGCACGGTATGACAATTTTCTACCTCACAATAAAACAAGGAAAATCCGGACGAACATAATAATAGATGCAACCGTTCCACCAAATAGGAAATACTGTAGAATGGTTCTCCTCCTCCTGGGACTTAGGATCCTGAAGTAGTGTGAAACCACCTCTGAGATAGCCTCACCATCGAGAAAATAAACCTGGAGAAGAAATAGAGGTAATCATAAAAACATGAATGGCATAAAATTTGCAGCAACTATTGTCCATTATTTTAGGATTGAATACATGTTATGACACAATAATCACAAATAAGAAGCATACAAAAGAGAATGGTCATCTGCAATAGATTGGTTAATGTGGTAAAATGGATCAACAACCTGACTTTACAACGGCGTGTATCCAAGTATCATCCAATGGTTAAGATGGAACTACAAAATCACCTTTCGGACAGCAATAACAGATTCTAGAAGTACTAATAAGAACTCATTAATTGCTCTGAAGGGGGCAAGAGACAAGACGGCTGAGCGTGAAGTAACAACTGTAAATAGCCAAGGAAAGCCCTAGAATGAGGTTTCTTTCTTCAGAAAAGTCCTAGAACAAAGCTCACTAGGGTCTCAATATAATGAAAGAGGCACATCGATGTTTCCAAATTGTCCTACACATTCTTTCATCATCTATTTTCTTGTGTAGGAAGATGCCCATAGAATAATTTAATTAAGTGTCTCAAATTTATTACCACGTCTAGATCACATTTTAAGTTCAATCAGGTTCTTCGGCTGGCTTCAAGATTTGTATGGACACATTTACTTTTGGTGCAGTTTCCTTGTGATCTCTCTAAACCATTTACATGGACTTGGGACTGGACATATGTCATACTGGAAATGCATACCCTAAAAGTTTCTAGCAAGTCATTTATATATGCATTTAGGTACCTAATCCATGTCTACGGACCGACAAATAAGTGTCTGACCAACAGAGAATCTAATCAGTTGTTTCAAGCAGGAATGGCCCACTTTAACAAAAAGCATTTACCTCAACCTAGTACAGTTTTGCAGATGTGATGTCATCTAATTTGCCACCCCCAATAGACATTACATTAATGAGCACAGAAAGCAGGTCTAGGAAATGCATGGGGAAATCATTGCCGTTTTACTTATTTCACAACTCTGTTAAAGCACAAATATGCCTATTCTTTTCCCCAAATGAGCAGTTGAGTTTTCCAGCAGCGAGCTCTTTCAATGAAACAAGTCAGAAAATTTATTGAAGCACATCTATAAATTTATGCTAATGTTGCATATCTCTCTAGGCGATTTGAGTAGATAGTGGGTGTTTTTTGGTTTTTTTTTGAGAGAAAAAAAGGGAAAAAGAACAGATAGCGGGTGTTTTGTTTTTTTGGGCTTCTAATGTTTACAAGTCTTAATAATGCCATGATGAGGTTCAAGCTAAGTTGCTCGGACTCTTCACTTTTGGTGCCGCACCTGTGTCGACACGACATGGGTGTGGAATCCATGTCCAATTTGGTCAACCAATTTTGGGTACTTTGACCAAAAACAAGAATGATTTCTATAAACAATACAAAAGTCAGGTGAAATTGAAGGAATGGAATACCTTTTATTTAGAAATTTCTACGTCACTCTTTTCTTTTAATCTCTGTCCAAATATCTCATAATTTAGGTTTTGTAACTCTATTTTTTAGATACTTTAATTATATTTAAAAAGATCCCCACACCCGTATCCATACATGGATCCATTTCCCCGAATCTTAAAAATTAGATAATGAAGTATCCGACCTCTAGATCCACACTGGTACCGGACACCTGCACCCGAGTCCGAGCAATCCAAATGAAGCGATATTATAAATCAAAAAGAAGACAAAGACTTGAACAGTAAAATTGGAGTTCAATCCAAGTACTCGGATAGTTAACATTTTTCTCTCTGTTCCAACTTTTACAGGTAAGATGAAAGAACACAACCATTTTATGCAAGGATCACGTTTCACCTGGCTGCATGAAAAGCATGTTTATTTGTGTCACAACTTAAGCCATCTAAAGTATAAAATGACAAGTTTCTTAGCATTGCTCAATTGCTTCCTCCTTAATACTGATAAAATATTATGTGATTATAGGGCTTCTAGTCCAATGGATGCTTCATAATTTGTTGTTCGCAAGCTATAATTACTATAGAGCAATATTTTCTAAAAAACATTCAGCTTGTGAAGTCTATATAAGGTTAGAAGAAGTATGTCAGAATAGAACAGGAAAAAGATAGTATATACTATTTTACTTAGAATGGGAATAGGAATAGTATATAGAATCCTATTTGGAAAAGGAATCTAATGTAGTGTCGATATATAGGGTCTCAATGTAACAGTATGGATACACCGTTCAATAATATTCTTCACAAATATTTCTAATATGGTGTCAAAGCCTCTACAGTCTTGGTAGAGAATCAAATAGCTTCCGCTGTCGGTGGGCGACTATTACCCATATAATGTCGCCCGTCTGGCCAATGATAATGTTAGCAAAAATTGGGTCATCGTATTTTTCTAGTGAACATTTTCTCATATCTAATTTGTGTAGTACCTTGTCATTTTTCGCAACTACTTTCTCATATTCGATTTGCATAGCACAGTACTATCATTTCGGTGACTACCTTTTCATATTTGATTTCTATAGTACCGTGCATTTTTCCAGTGACTACTTTTTCATATCTAATTTGCGTCAGTGACTACTTTCTCATATTTGATTTTGTGTAGTACCATGCATCTCTTCGGACTACTCATATTTAATTTCCGTCGTACCATGGATTTTTTCTAACTACTTTCTAATATATCTGAGTTGCATGAGACCGTGTGTTTTTTTCAGTGACTCCTCAGACTTGTTATGCATAGTTTCATGCATCTTTACGATGACTCCTCAAATTTAATTTGTGACAGGCAAGGTTATTAATGGCACGCTTAAGCCCTAAAGCAAGGGTCAAAAAGCGCTGGGCGTTTCACCTCACTTAATGTGCATTTCAGTATTGTCATCAAGGCCCGAAAGCATACTTTTCCTTCTTGATATTTCACTTTATCATAAAAAAACAATCAATTTTTTGTCCACATATTTGTTATTCATGCCTATAATTATTAGTCTTGAACTAAACATGAATATATTTGTATGTTCCCTCAATTTGTGCCTTTTCTCAACAAAGCCCATCGTTTTATTTGCTCTTGAAGCCCCAACGAACCTTAGAGATTTTTGCGCTTCACGCTTTTGATCACATTGGTGTCGGATCATGCTATCATTCCTATCCTACCTATATACTTTCTTCTACTCAGTAGGGTCGTGCCGCCAATCCGACCCTACCCATATTATTCTCTTTCTCAATAGGGTGTTCTCATCATTCTGACCCTACTCGTATAATTTTGTTTCTCAGATTGTGACCATTTTCAGCCATCAAGTCTAATAATCCAGCGCATGAGCACGTTCCAGACAGTTTTAGGATAACTTTCTTGTTTAAGATATACTCATGTCTTGATTTCGAGACAATGAGTACTATGTATTATGGAAATTCTGCATCAAATTCAATATTTCATGAGAAGACACATTGAGATTGATTGTCAATTTTGTGAAGTCGAGTGATCAACTTATAGATATCTTCATCAAGCTCATCATTGGTCCATTATATTAATTACATTTATAACAACCTAGGTACATATGACTTGTATGCACTAGCTTGAGGGAGAGTGTTAGACTAGAATAGGAACAAGAATAATAGTATATAGAATCCTACTTGAAAAGGATTATATTGTAGTGTCCTAGTTAGAAAAGGAGTCTAATATATTGTCTATAAATAGGATCTCAATTTTATAATATAGATGAACAATTCAACAATATTCTTCTCAAATATTTCTCATGAAGTAGTTAAGATGAGTTATAACATTTTTTCCCATATGGTTTAGTGAATCCTTTTTGGAGTACGATTAGGACACAAGCTATTCCTAGTATGTAATACTTTCAATTCAATAATTTAACCATGTTAGATAGAAGTGATGGAAAATTTCCTCACTCATTGTTGATATAATCCTAAGCTTGTGTATACTAAATTCAGTGCTTTTTTCCTTCTCATTTTTCCATAAAATGGGCACGGTTTCTCCAGCCTTAGAAAGGCCTTGATTTTCATGGTTCTCAAGTTGTTATCATGTTAAATCTTTTCTAAGAAGTTATACATCATAAGACCCGTTTAATGCAATTACTTCCTATCATTCTGGGACCAAATAAGCACAATTCTGAAACCTTCAATCTGTTGCAAACTGCCTAACAGAACTGATACTTCCTAACAACAACACGTTTGAGATTCAATTGGATCTTCACATCAAAAGATGTGACAGATATGATCACATGCAGACTGATAAACATGGAAACAGAGAGTTATCTCTTAGATATGACTACATACCGGCAGGCTGTTTAGAAGTGCAAGTGTCATAGAGACGTGAAAGGTGAACATCAAAAGCCTTTCCAGTACATAAGCAAGATGTGCACCAAATTTAGCAGACCAACGAGGTTGATATGAAGTCAAGAGAACTGAATGCTTTATCGAAATTGCATCACCCACAAAAACAAAGGTCTTAACATACGGATTCTCCTTGGAAATGTTATCTTCGATTACACGTGTTCTTCGAAGATGCAAGCACTGTAGGGGAGAAGGGCTTGAACATGTGATCTCCACCCATGCTACACCAGTTGAGAAAAGTGGAAGAAAGCATGTTCCCTCCTACACCAAAACATCAATTATCTACATATTCAAATGCATTCTTTGTGTTGTTATGCTTAATCTAATCACATTTGTGTATGATAAACTACAGGAGCAATAATTTTTGGCAGTTCATGAGAAACATGAACTGTCAAACTGATACAACGTGTAGCTTCTGGTATCAATTGGAGAACACTGAACTGCGTACCTTGGAACAGAAGCAGCTGCTCCTATTGCTATGAAGTCTGCCCCAACCATCACCGCATTTCTCAAGCTTCAAGACATCCTTATCATAAAAGCAATGGAATACACCTCCATCCCTTTGATGGTTAACCTCAAGATTGTCATCATCAACCATGGCCTGGTCCGAGCATGGAATGGTTATAAATGCACTTAGTTCATCAGGACAAGTTCTGTTGCCTTCCAATGAAACACGTTTGCCTTCTTCAACCAAAGAATAGGGAATACAGTATCCTTTACCACTACTACTTTTCATAGAGTTCTCAAGAAGGCTGTGATTCTGGAAGGTTTGATAAGAGTGTTCAGTTAATACGTCAATAATTTGTGACCACTCCTGAGCATTATCGATGCGGAAATCATCCAATGATATAATGACATCACCAGGAGACAAATGGCCAGCCAACGGCGATGTTGGAGACACCTCCAGTACCTGCTCAAGATCATGTGATTGTAAGCCATTAGTCACATAATGCCTAATTAGGTCCCCCAAATTAGCACATTGCAGTACAAGAATTAATCCTCAATTACCATGGGGCCTTCATCATGAATGTAAAATGGATACAAGATAAAGGGTTGAAGGAACAATGCCCAGGCACAAACAGCACAAAGCTGAAAGATAATAAACCCATTAGTTCAAAAACTACAGAATATGATAAACACAAATGGAGATCGACTAGCATTTAATAACTAAGAGCTGCTATAAGCACCCACAACTGCATTATGCCAAATCCCAGCACAGTATATTTGAAGAGCAGAAACTTTGGACAATGCCTGCAATAACTCATGATTGAATGCCAGTAGAGCGCCTGGAAATAATACAGCCAAAAATACAGCGATGTACTCCATCTGTATGCCCTCACAGCTTTCCCAGAATGTAGTGCCTACCGAAGCAGTTGTGAGATTCATGTACCACCAGTCCACCACTACTATGTCTCAAAACATGTCAACTGATCAGGTTTGCACATACAATCAGCCAAATGTAGAATCAAAGTCCAAAGATCATAAAGAATACCCTGATATAACACAACCAGCTCTAACTAAATGCCTAATGTTCAAGTATGTGCTATAATCTGACCCAGTTGACTCTCCTAGAAGCATGTCTATTATTCGCAGTGCAGCAATGATGCTTATACACCAAGATTTTATAGAAGCTATTAATCATGACTTGCAAAAAGCACCTTAAAAAAAGAAGATATTTGAGAACGAATTGCTTGCTTATTCCCTACCTTTTCAAAAAGAAAAGCTTATTTCCTCGAGCATAATCGGGTTTAAATAGTGTTTACAAGTAATCCCAGAGACAAAAGGAAAGGATTCAAGTGATCCTACAAAGGAAAGGAAAGTATTTCCTTGATAATTTCTTATCCTATTTACACAATAATAGAGACTCTAAAGTCTAAACCTTTTTTATATATACTAAGTATTGAAGAGTCCTACATCGGTTGGTGCAGAGTTGGATGATTTGCAGATTGCAGATTCCTCATCATGCAGTAGTATATGGGGTTTGCTAGCAAAATACCAAGCAGTTGAGATAAAATTATCCATAATTATTACACACAGTATCTCCGATAACATAACCTATATGGTGACTTCCAGTACTCCTCTTGTTCCTTTAAATCATCCTTCTCAATATTCACATAGATTTTTCTCCCTTAGTACATGGAGGAACGAAGAAAGATATTTACCTTTCTGTTCAATTCGATTCTCCCTGGAATCAGACTTCTCCACTGGAGTTGACCAAGCAGAGGTGCCTGCCTCCGAGAACTGAAGTAGTAGAACCGTTGGCTGTGACCGAGAAGTAGGCTCACTCGGCTCGCTCAGGATTCTGTCTTTAGTCAGTTGGTAACTTTCTGAGCCTTAGTGCGCATGGCCTTGCTTCCTTTGCTCTCACCAATGAGCAGTGTAAGTCCCGGAACTTGTTAATTGACTGGCTGGCTTCCGAAAGGAACCGGAGCTCTTCTAGCCACTAACGGCTCATAGGCCTCCTCATCCCGAAAGGGAAAGGGAGGAGAGGGTAGGATATGATCACGCGAGGGACACGAAAAAGGCATTAAGAAAGCAATCGCCCCCCCCCCCCCTTTGATACTTAGGTTCGGCTGGCCTTTCAGGATCAGTTGTGCTTGAGGGTGATTACAGGAAATCAAATTTATCACAGCACGTTTTAAGATATAGATACTTCTGCGAATCTGAATAAGAATGGGGGTCTTTGTTCCCTTCCATAATCGATTGAAGTTGAGATGGAATGAAGCTACCAAAGGTGAGCGGTGTAGTTTACAGCTCAGCCCATCCTCTGGAGTGACCAATTACAGCATTGTTGTAGCTCCCTTCCAGGAATTTCGGATCAAAGTCACGGTGATTCCTCAGTCAGTGCACGTTACAAAATCCTAGCTAAAATGCGCGGAGAGAGAAACATATTCTAACCTGAATCCCCTCCATGTCCGAAAAAGAACTTCTAGAGTAGGGACTCAAACATTTTTGGCTCTAGTAAAAGAATTTTCAAATTCCTTTCATTACTCTAACAACTTCCTGAATAACAACCCGTAGGGGATCAAACCTTAGGATTTAATAGAATTAAGATCAAAGGATTTGGTGGGTAGCAAGTACATTGCTGGTCAGCGAAGAGAAAGTGCACCATAACAGCTTCTAGAGAGATGAACGATGTTTGAACAGGAAGATGAGCACCAATGTTGGACAGAGGAGTTTGTATAGCTTGGGAAGGAAGAAAAACAGAAGAAAATGTGGTCAGAAAGGCGACACACATTAGCTGGCCGTTTGAGTAGTTGTAGTATGCCTGCATATTATAAGAATCTGAAAGTCCAAGATGTTGTCTTCCCAAGCATTTTGTCAAGCAAGGGTGGCACTGAATGACCAAAAGCCTTTTGGTGCTTAAAGTCACTCCCCCTTAGGAATACCAATATAGCATAGTATCTGAGTTTGTATAGCTGGTTTACCCCTCCAAAGTAAATGGAACACTTGTGCAGCTTAGCATGAAGACCAGAAGCTTGGGAAAATTGTGAGAAACACTGGAATAAACATGGACAGATTGCGCATCACCCCTGCTATATGAAAACAGGTCATCAGCAAAGTTTAGTTGTATGATCCTCATCTTGGGTGAAAATGAATTTTTTTTATCAGTGTGAAGAGTCTTCAACAGTCTATTAAATTAGTCCATAAAAATAAAAAGTAGGAAAACGGAACGGGGTATCCTTGCCTCAAACCTCTCTTAATAGCGAAGGGAGGAGTTGGAAAACTATTGAGTGCAAAAGAGTAGGTCACAGTAGTGAGGCATGTCATGATCCATTCAACAATTAGATCTAGGAAATGAAGACTGGCCAGAGTTGCACCAGCCTCCAAATAAATTCTTACTACCGAGTCATAGGCCTTCTGGAAGTCTCTCTTCAGCATACACCTTGGAGAAATCCCCCTCATATTGTATCCCTTATCAAGTCCATGGCTAAGGACAATGTTATCAGATAGCAACCTTCATGGTACAAATGTTACATATGTTATCAACTTCTATCAGTAAGGTCTTCAATGATTTTACTCAGTCTCTTGGTAATGATTTTATGATTACACAAAACATTGCAACAAGAAGTTGGCAAAAGTCATTGATGGTGACGGGGTGTTTCACCTTGGGAACTACAGTGACTGAAGTGCACATTGATCCCTCATTTGCTCCTGGTCAATCACACATAAGAAACTATGTCTTAGTAAATCTCAACCCGAAATAGAGATCCATAGCCCTCGTTTCCCTCCAGCCCCAACATTTGTCCACAAAACTCTCTGCCACTCAGAAACACTTGTAAGGGCTCTAGAACTCAGGATTCTCAATAGAAAGACAAAGTCGGCTAAGCACCAAAAGTAAGTCGCGGGTGAACCAGGATCCGATTCTTGCCCTTTTAGTTTCCATTTTCCGGAATGGGCTTCGGATTTTCTAGCCCCAGAAGTTTCATTGATCAAAGCAGCATGGGAAATACATCTACATCAGCAGATGTTATTGTAACGTACTCTCTTGCTCAACTAACCCTAATTATGTCGCAGAATAACAGCTTAAAATTCCCAATCATCTCTAAGTAAGGCCTTCCAAGAAGCCTAGACTTTTGATGGCTTGCCAGTATTTAATTTTTTGTTAGATGAAATAATTTACTTGATGGAACCGCAGAAACTCATCCACTGAGAATTTTAATCATCACCCATCATATATGCATTGGCCACACAGGTAATAATTTCTCCCCTTAGTTCCAAAATCAGTAGAAATAATGTAAGAGAAAGGAACAGAATCGTTCAAGAAGATTTCCATGAATATATATAGCAAGTATAGTATAATCCACATTTTACATTTTTCTTAAAACAATTTCAAAAGAGCATTAGCCTTCACCTTGCAGCAGCCAGAACGTGCCCAAGTTCATGTACTGAAACCGATATGAAGGAAGACATGCATAGATATCCAATGTCAGCCACTGAAATGGTCAAGCCTGATATCTGCACGTCAAAACATATGAAGCAGTTACAAGTGTTTAGAAAACCATTGAATCTGAGTGCAACTAGCTGTTTCTAGCTCAGATCATGTATATGTAGGTCACATCATGCTCTACCCCTTTACCTTAAGCCATTAAGGTAGCATAAATGTAATCACTCCTTAGTCATCAAATAGTTACAGCAGTAGTTATTTCTTTTATAGTAGTAGTTATTTTCCTGTAATACTGCAGTTCTCCGTTCCAGTAATATTAGGAGGTCATGTCCTAGTTTCTAGGGGTAGTTAGTGTTGTATTTAACTACATGTTTGTATCAGGAAATATAAGCAGAAAAGTATTTTCACTTTTTGAGTACTTTAACTCAAGAGATTGCAGGTTCACTCTCAACGAACCATCACCACAGGTCACAGGAAGAAAACTTCAGTTTTATCTTGCAGCTTCCATAAGTAGATCCATAACAAGGACCATAACAATAAGTAAAGGCTATCTCACTTCAAGCCTTAAGAGAATTAGACAACCAATATGGTTCCATTTTGAGATCAACAGATGTGCCTTGAAATTGCACATCCGATGCCTTTTACTTGAGTTTTCAAAGTCCTTTTGCATGACTCTTTTTGTGTTTTTAGTGTTCGAATGTTGTTTTCTAGATGTTTGATGTCAAAATGGCCAAAACATGGAAAAGCTGAGAAAATGGCCAGAATGGCAATCCACAATCCATAGAATAAAGTACGGGCCTTAAATCCTGGCATGGTGCGGAAAAGATATGAGAGATGGCACCTGCTTGGTCTTCTGAAGTCGACCAATCCATGGTGGGAAGTACGAACCATATGTCACATTCACGATATGTACATCTGGAGAAGACTGCTGGAAGGTTTTACAAACAGTGGAATATTGTACAGTCAACGGATCAAACCATGGTCATAGTCCAGTACCTCTAGGCAGGAATTCACGAAAGACTTAAAAGCAATTCATGGACCGTGGATTAATGTATTGTCTGTGGATTGGATCAATGAATTTGACAGTTTTAGGATTCCAAGTTTGTGGGTCATAAATACATTTAATAGGGGTTCTCTAATAGGGAGTTACAATTTTTTATAGTTTTTGATTTCGGAACAATATTCTCTCTCTAGTTACGTAGTTTGGTGAAAAATGAAGACACCTAGTTATTTATTTTCATGTTGAATTCTAAGTAAGACTTATGACTTCATTTTATTCTTCTTACTTTTACTCTTGCATTAGGAGTAGTTAAATCCCCTACTAAGTTTACAAACCTAATGGGGCTATAACGTTCATACGGTTTTCGTGTGTTGCATATTTTCGGGTAATAACAATATCAAATAAGGCACTAACCCTTGTTTAATAAATTCTCTCAAGGATAAGTTGAATTTACTTGGCATAATTAATCACTCTTCTCTAAATAACTCCGATAGATTTGGAAAAATGATATTGAGAAAAATTGTTCAACTCTAGCGAAAGATTGAGCGGGAAAAGAGCGATTGGACTCGATAAGAATCCTGTGGAATTTTGGAAGAGCACAGGAAAGGCGGGTACGAAGTGGTTAATTGGTTTGTTTGATGCTATTTTTAAGACAGGCAAAAATGCTCGACAATGGAGGTAGAGTACAAAGGTACCATTGTACAATCACAGGGGTATTGAATAGCTAAGTCGCACTATGAAGGTTTCGGATATTATGGTGGAGATGAGGTTGAGGATTCATGCCGGGACGATCAACTACTGAAGCCATCCCTCTTGTGCGAAGACTGTTGGAGAAATACTGAAAAAGACAGAAGAATCTACATATGGTGATCATTGACTTTGAAAAGGCCTATGACAGTCTCGAGGCATGTCCTCTGGAGGTGTTTAGAGGCTAAATGTTTCTCGATGGTTTATATTAGAATGATAAAGGACATGTACAAATGAGCCAAGACTCGGGTTAGAACGGTGGGAGGAGATTCGGAGCACTTCCTGGTTGAGATAGGGCTGCATCAGGGATTTATTCTTAGCCCTTTCCTATTTGCCTTGGTGATTGATGAGTTAACACGCTCTATTCCAGATGAGGTTCTATGGTGTGTGTTATTTGCAGACAACATAGTATTGATAATGAGACACGAGATGGAGTTAATACTAGGTAGGAGGTTTAGAGATAAACTCTAGAGTCCAAAGGGTACAGGTTGAGCAGGACGAAGACGAAATATTTGGTATGTATTAGAAATATTGGAGAAGAATATTATTGAATTGTTTATCTATATTATTACCTTGAGATCCTATTTATACACTACATTATACTCTTTTTCCAACTAGGACACTACATTACAATTATTTTTCAAGCAAGATTATATATATTAATCTTATAGTCTTATACATATTTCAATTCTAAGTGGGATTGTGTATACTGTTCTTGTTTTTTTTCCTATTTTAACCCTCCCCCTCAAGCTGGTGCATACAAGTCATATGTACCTAGCTTGTTACAAATGTTATTAATACGAGACTAGTGAGGGACTTGGTGAAGATATTTAAAAGTTGATCACTTAACTTCACAATACTCCTTTCACAAAAAACTGGAGTTTATGCAGAATGTCGATAGAACACAGAATGATCAACTCCACTACGAGTCATGCCAAACTCCTAAATTATTATGTTGACTTCCTAAACAAAGCTCGAGAAGACTATTTCAAATCATAGAGTAACTTGTGCAATTGACATTCAAGGCACTCCTCTTGAGCATCAAAACCAGGTGGTTGCTCCATATAGACTTCTTTCTCACCTCAACATCACCGTGGAGAAAAAACATTTTTAATGTCCTACTGATTAAAAGGCTAATGGTGAACTATAGGTTTGAGCTTTGGACTTCCATGTTGGAGGTCTCAAGTTTGAAACCCTTTGCCAGCGAAAGCAAGGGGTTTGTCTTCTAGGTCGAGCTCGTCGCACCAGGCTTGCCTAGTGCAGGTTACCTCTCATATGAGGTTGCGAGCTATTGCATAGGAGCGAGAGTTTTAACATATGCGCACCCAAAGGGTAGCGACTGCGGACTTCTCTTGTTATGAAAAAAAGGCGGACATATGATATTTTTACCACGCGAGAGTATCCCTGTAAGTGGAAAGGGACACGAAACTATACGAATCAGATCTAAGAAGTCACCGAAAAGATACACGATACTACACAACTCAGATATGAGAAAGTAGTCTGCAAAGATGCACAATGATATGCAAAATCATTTTTCAGAAAGTAGTCACCGAGTAGATGCACAGTACCACGCAAATTGGATATGAGTAAGTAGACTAGAAAGATGCTCAGTGCTATGCAAATCAGATATGAAAAAGTAGTCACCAAAAAGATGCATAGTGTTACGAATAAGAGAAAGTAGTCAGCAAAAAGATGACATGATGCCTATGCAAATCAGATATGAAAAAATAGTCACTGAAAAGATAGCACAGTGCTACACAAATTAGATATTAAAAAATAGTCACTGATAGGATGGCATAGTGCTACACAAATTGGATATGTGAAATAGTCACCGAAAGGATGGCACGGTGCTACACAAAATTAGATACAAGAAAATAGTCATTGAAAAGATGGCAATTGGCACAATGCTACACAAACACCAACGGATATGGGATTGACACAAAACAACCCTAGAAAGTCACTAAAAATTGACGGACGGTGACCTGTCCACTAAGTTTTCTTCCATGAATATAGGGTTCATGCATATATCATTGGCCCTACTTTTGTTAACACAGCCATTGGCAGACGGGCGACATACATGGTCAATGCCACTGATGAGTCGGGGATTTTGACTTATTTAGGGCTTTTTATTCAAGAATTTAGTGTCCTCATTGCCTAATTTATGCTCATAATTGATGTGAAAATGTTGACATGCAACAATTAAGGCTCAAGGGCAAGGCAAGAACATGATGCAAAAAGGAGCGAAAAAGTTGAAGGAAAGCAAAGTTGGTACTTGCCAAAGTCACTCGACGAGTCGCCGAGTATACCTCTAGCTTGCCTAAAATTCCAGCATAACAACCCATGGAAGAGACCAACTTGGCGAGTAATCACGAAATTCGGCGATTCGTCGAAGAGATCAGCGACGACAATCTGGCTCGCCGAAAGTTACACAATGATCGGATGAAAGAACCAAGCCAAAAAGGTGAGAAGAGCAACTCAGCGCATTGGCGAACTAGTCAGTGAACCCGTGTGACTGCGCCGAGTTGACTCCATGTTGAAATTTCACGAATGTATAAATACAATTTTGAAAAAACAAGAAATAGAAATTCAAAGTTCGGAACACTGTTCACCTTCAGGGTTTTTGAGTCTTTACATTTCGAGAGCATTATTTTTTTTTACATTTTTGAGGAGAGATTTAGAGATTGTGGTACTCTAGCTTCAATTTCAGCATTTTGGGAATTAGAGATTGTTAGCCCATCAGATGGATAACTTTGTTGATAACAATTTCTTGTTCTTTATTATGTGCGGCTAAAACAACCTTTCCTTGGGTGTGATTATGTAGTTAAATGCTTTAATTCGTTAATGGGTGTCGTTAGTTATTATTTTAATGTTGTTTTGAAGTGGGTTCAATTAATTGTTCATGTTTTAATTGAGGAATTGAAGTTGCAAATGCAATTCTAGCATTAAATCACTTCAATGCATTCAGAAAACTTAGACATTGCTCCAATTATTCTGAAACAGATTGTTCTTTCATTAGGATATCTGATTACATTAAATCACTTCCCACTACCCAAGGTCTTGCACACCTTTCCCCCACTGAATATTCCCCCCCCCCCATAACTCTCTTCTTTCCACCCTTTTACAATCAGTATGCATGGCTGTCACAAAACGAAAAAGAAATTAGAATTTTCCCAGACATTTTAAATTTATGCTTTGGTTGCCATACTCTACCATTTCCCCTTTCCAAACTCTTATGTCGCATAAAATAACTATTCCCCCCTACTACCATTTACCTCCAAATGGATCTCTACCATCCATTTATTATTCCATATAGGTCCTATCTAT